AGGTGTGCTGTGGCTTTAGAAAGCTCTCTAAGGTTTTCCTTGCTGACAGCAGAGACAACCAGCACTCAGGAATGCCACCAGCTTCACCTCATTGATTTTGTCAGCACATCTCTATCGAGACAAATATGGTTTAGACCACATCATTTGTGCTGTCACGTCCCAGGACTGAGTAATTAGACCCTATTTCTCTGTCAGCTATAACATGAGGACACTGCTCTTTCAGAATGGTTTCACAGGGGAGAGGAAAGCCAGGGCAATTCAGCAATCAGGAAAATGCCATGTATGTGGATTAGGCAGGGATCCCACACCTTCCCTTCTGCTGGAAATTTCACAAAGCAAATCTACATCTGTACAAGCTTCCAGGTACCATGATAGTACATCAGAGAAAAATAAACGAGGGAAAATGCCAGCTGGAGGTTTAAAGAAGGAACAGGCATACAGACAGATACCCAAATAGGGCCAGGAAGGGAAGTCATTGTGTCTTGCACAGGCTAGGTTCAAGAAAGCTATTTTGTTGGGAGCATAAACAGCAATTTCTCCAAAAGCACATGTAATCATTTGAGTAGCAGTTCAGCTGTCAGTGATGCAGAGTCTAACTAGGTACAGCAGAGCACCACTACTTTGGATTGATTCTACTGAGAAAAGTCATAAGGTGTGAGAAAATAGCTAAGGAACAATTCAAGGAGTCAGTAAAAAAGTTCTGAAGTGAAAAACTATAAAAAAATCTATGGAAAGAAAACAAAGGATCAGAAGGTGGCAAGCCAGCAATATCCTGGTTGAACCCATTCCAAGACAAAAGGTGACCTGGCCTCAAACGACTAATGACAATCTGGGCAATGTGTATTCTGACATTACACAAATCCTGTTTGCAAAGTCTCTCTCTCTACACAGCAAAAGATGCCCATATCAAAAGTGAAGCCAGGAGGAAGGAATCTCATACTCTAAGGAAGAGGACAGGTAGGTTTCTCACTCAGGTGGCAAATCCAGTGAAGATGGTATTAAAATATTCTCAGGAAGCTCCTGGTTAAGTGATCACTAGTTCCATGGCACCTCCAACCACCAGGGACAATCACCAATTCCCAACAGGATACAGCCTGTCAGGAAACCTTTCTCTGACAGACTGAGGACCATAATTTTTTCTACTAGGTAACCAACTAGTAATTCCCCATCTAGATGCAGTCTCCAACTAGTAAGCCTCTGTTCAGTACTCATGGTTACACAACACAACTGAAGTTAAGCCTGACTTTGTGCACTGAATTGACCCTGGGTTATTCCTGGACCTTCTCACAAAGCCAGCCCTAACAGCACGTCAGGAGCAGGGAAAAAAGTAGCAGAAGGGTATAAGAAAAAACTGAGATGTTAAAGGCAACCTAACCTAGCAAACCATGCCCCTTCCCAAAAATGACAGACAGTAGAGTAGAAAGAAAAGATGACTTGCCATCCTAAGAACTGAACATACCCACAGATGAAGGAACACTATCAGCTGGAGCCACTGATTGTTGCCTTCAACAGAACATCTGATGAAACTTATAAAGTGTAAAACTATTTCTGCTTGTTGTGAGGGACCAAACCTTGGTCATAAAATGCAGTTAAAACACAGAAGAGGAAAAAAAATTAGTGTTTTTCAACATGTTTTCAAAATAGTCTGCTAGAATGGGGAAATATTTCTCACCACTCTTTATCTTTTTCTCTTTTTCTCTGGCTCTTCAAGTCATTTGGAGATAATGAAAGCATTATAAAAGAAACAGAGAGGAACTAAGGACAAGCAGGGCAACCAAGTATGTGAGTTTTGATGTTTTTGCAGTCTTTGAAAGCAATGATAAGAAAAAACAGACAGTGCATGCAAAAGTGCTGAAAGAAAAGCACAGATGCAAATAAGTATAGGATTCAAGAAGCAAATCTTGAAATCTAGTATTTTAGAAATAGCCTGAAGACCTGAACAAAATTTATGCCATTTCTTAGGTGAAAGTAGTTTAAAAGCCAAATTATCTGTAATCACAGTGGACTGTACATGACATTAAAAGTATGCTAAAAGGCTTTCTGAAAGAATATTGAATAAAATATGAAACTGTAATAGCAACATGCTTCCTAAGAGCTTACACAGAATTTTAGTATCTCAAATTTGATTGTCATCAACTGGTTTTACACTGCAGGCAGCTTTTTGAAAAATGTCTCACATTAAATACATTTATCAAATATATTTCTTCTTTCCTTCCTAAATGGTCAGCAAAGTTAACAAATACATATATTTTAGACAAAACCAAAGTTAGAAGAAAAAATTAAGGAGTGAATCACAGAGTTCTTCATGGGGAAAGAGATAAACATGCTACAGATGACACAGCAGCTTAAAATATAGAAGTTTTAAAATATAAAACTTGTGCTGAAATATGGAGAGAGATAGCTAAAAAGCATGTTCAGCCAACTGCCCTGTTTACTGCTCCTGTTTATGCTGCACCAAGTGGTTACAACAGAGAGGCTTATTGCTCACCCAGAACAGCAGCTAAGCCATAAAATGTGATGACTGGAGGTTGAATGCAAAATGAGATCAAACCTTCACTCTGGGGACTGGGTGAGTGGCACAGTTTATGTTACTGGAAAGCCAGGGCAGGAAAAAGGATACTCTGCTCTGAGTACCAATTCCACAGCAGGGCTAGTATTTTGGATTTCTTGTGAAAGGGTGATGAAAAAATGTCTCCTAGATTCTCAAACTATCTCCACTCCCAGCTTTTAAAGTGAGTGAGGTAAAAACAAGTAATTAATTAGCAACAAGCACAGTTTTTCCACAAGCGTGAATTTTGCTCATAAAATGATCTAGCAATCATATTCCAGTAAGTCTATCAAGAATATTTAGTTCCAACACATTTTCAAAGCATTCTTTCTTTATAGGGAATAATGGTAAGCAGTAACACCTGCACCTAATCTGATTTTCATCTGCTGATCACATCATTAAGATATTTCAGACATAAAAGATGAGGAAAAGTACAATTTTAAAGATTGCTTTGCTGCTTTTATATTTGTGAAGGCATTGCACTTTCAGTTTTACTGTGTACATGAACTAGATTGTTTTGGACAGTTCCTCACTGCTTCTGTGGAAAAAAAAAATATATATATTTAAGGTTATGGCAACAGTTACAGCTTTTGTATTTGTCTGTATAAAATGTGCTGGTTTCAGCTGGGGTAGAATTAACTTTCTTCCCAGTGGCTGGTATGGAGCAGTGTTTTGGATTTGTGCTGAACGCAGTGATGATAATATAGGGATGTTTTTGTTACTGCTGAGCAGGGCTTACACAGAACCAAGGCCTTTTCTGCTTTTCCTGCTGCCACGCTGGTGAGGACAGTGGTGTGCATGGGAGGCTGGGAGGAGACACAGCCAGGACAGGTGACCCAGACTGACCAGAGGGACATTCCAGACCATGTGGCATCATGGATCAGAGTGTGAAGTGGCAGAAAGAAGGAGCAAGGGGGGAGGTCTGGAATGATGGGGTTTGTCTGCCCAAGTCACTGTTAGATGTGCTGGGGTCCTGGAGATGTCTGAACACCTGCCTGCCCTTGGGAAGCAGAGAATGAATTCCCTGTTTTCCTTTGCTTTGCTTGTGTGGCTTTTACTACCCATATCAAGCTGTCTTTATCTCAGCCCATGAGTTTTCCACCTTTTACCCTTCCAATTGTCTCCCTGATCCTGCTGGTAAGGGAGTGAGTGAGTGGTTGCCTGGGACTTGGCTGCTGGCTGGGATGAAACCATGAAAAATGTATATATATATATAAATGACATGGCATGCAGATCAATTCTTACACCTCATTGTCTTCCAAATCCTTCTTTCTATAACCCCTAGAAATGTTTTGAGGCATAGTAAACTTCCAGAAGGAAAACCAAAAATAGTTCCCTGCTGGGAACAGTAAGGTCTGCAATATCCTTTACAAAATAAAGATCTATCAATTAGATCTACAGGAAAATCATAGCATATGGCAACTGTTTTTTGAACAAAATTGTAAATAAGTGATCCTCATTTCACATTTCTAAACACGGGCTTTAATGTGAGATAGACACTATTTCTTCAAGGAAAATGGTATGGTATTTTCTGATATCTATATTAAAGTGAAACAGATGCTCACACATATTTGTGCAAGATATGAGCAAAGAAAATTAATTTATTTAGTAAATAATTGAAGATATAAATAATTTAACTGTGTGTTCTAAAATTAGAAAGCATATCTGAGAAGTAATCAATAGAAATAATTAGTAGAAAGTATATTTAAAATAGGCACAGAAATCTATACTTCATCAATGAACTATTTTAAATTACTAAAAGATGCAATTTCTGTGATAATCTAAGCCTTATAATAACATAATATAAATTAAATAAATCAATTATTCTCATATACAAGTCAAAAATAAATTTTTGTAAAATTACAGCACTAAACAATTCGTTCATTTCATATTCCATCTCAGATCATATATGACCAGAAATGACATCTAAAATTTGATTCTTGATAATAAACCAAATAGTTTAATTATTTCCAGATAGCTTTTTAATTGACAAGTACTGTTTTCTGTATTTTCCTATGAAAATTTTCCCAGAAACTCTAGACCAAAATTATCTTAAAAAGCCCAGACAAACAACAAAGAAAACCAAAAAACAGTTCATAATCCCCCTGAACAAAACAAAAATGAGTTAAAGTGACTGAAAAGGCTTAAGATAAACATAAGTGTATTTAATATTAAATAATTTTCTTTTTTGTTTTCTGTTAATTTGGTAAAAAATTAAAAGTAGTTACAATTGTCCAACTCTTTGATTTTGGAATTTCTTTCCTCGTCTTTTTCTTCTTAACTGATCCTTTAAACTACAGAAATTTTATTTTAAAACAATTTTCTTAAAATTACATGCTTTTCCACTCTGCTACTTCATGTTTTAGGAAACTGTGACTTGTTGCAGATTAAGTTGATAAAATAAGTAACAGTAATAGTTGAAATATATATTAAGCATTATGAAGCTACATACCTTGTGGCTGTTTAACCAGAAGTTGAAAAACAGATTCCTTACAGGTGGCCTGGGACAGGACAGATGCACTCAGATGCTGATTCAACAGCTCCTGATCTAAAAAAAAAAAAAAAAATTAAAAATTAAAAATTATTTGTGGAAACCCATTTAGAATTCAAAATTGATGGAACAACTTCCCCAATAAAACATCTTCACATACAAGTTTTATAAAACACATTCTTGAATGAGAGAACATGGCCCCTTTTTTCCCTGCTCTGATTAAAGGTTCTCTCATTATTTTCCTCACTGTGAAGTATAGATACAATATGGATATCTTTTTAAATAGAATGAAAAGGAAATAACACAGCATCAAGAAAACACAAAATTTAAAACTTTTTCAGTTAAATAACAATTACAGATTATGAAATAAACTGTTTTCTAAATGAAAAAATCAAGTAGCAATGAAAGCCAATGGTGACATGAAATGTAAGAGGCACAGGTTCAGGACCAGCAGTACAGATACAGCTGCAGACAAGAATTGCTTTCTTGTCAGCAAGTTACTGGATCAACCAACAGATCACTTCATAAAGACAGAGGATTTAGACATTATTTAGATTGTTTCACTGATCACTGTCAATGCTGTGGATAAACGAAAAATAAGACAGGAAAAACTGGTTTGAAGTCAAATTTTATAAACAGGTTTTGGAACCAAAGGAAATTCCTTGTAAGAAATGTGTCTAGCAGCTAACTCCAAGAACCTGAGACCAACAGATAGCCCATATCTGTATAATATGTCATATTAAAGTTTGGTAATACTGAATGATGAACTGCTGACAGCAAGATGGGATACACAGGACTCATCCAACAGCAAGGGAAGACTGTCATTTGGGGTTATGGAACAAAGTTAAGCTAGCTTTAAGAAACAGAATAATGACCAAAAACGCTCAGAAAGGCAGAAAACAGCTCTCTTGGCACTATCATTCTTGGTTCTTGGAAGAGGAACAACCTCAAAATTATTTCATATCAAGAACAAGGTTTCAGGTTTCAGAAACCAGCACAGAGGTTCAAAGTAGGATTTGCCAACCGTGAGGAAATAAAAAAAATAATTGAAGGGCCCTTGCCAAATATTAAATGATGGGTGCATAAGAAAAACTAATACGCTCATTTCAATATATCAATAAAACAACTGTATCATCTTCTTTCCTGACCTGAGAGACTGCAGTGGCAAAAATAACAGTGAAATTTTCCTCTACAATGCTAATTATTCTGTAATAATTATATTCTATCTTATTTTTCAGGATGCTAAAAAGTTGACTACTTTAAATTTCCCCTATTAGAAGATTTTTTCAAACTTTAAAATATATGGTATTTATTTTTAGTTTATATCCTTCTACACATTCAGCTAAAAAGTAATTTTCACACAGCTAGCTAACTAATCTCAAGATCTTTTTTTATCTGAAATATATAGTTTCACTCTATGAAATTAAAGGCACAAGGTTATTATTCATGATGCTTCAAAATTGCATTTATCAGTTCAGAGCTGCATTTATACATTGCATGTTATCTTTTTTAATTGGTAGCTAAAATAATGATTTGAATTATGTCAGAATGAGCACAAAGTGATGCTATCACTTATATTCTAAGTTGACTAGATGACTAAAAATAAAATTTCTTCACATCTTTATTATTTCACTCTAACATTGACAAATATATATATACACACACACACATATATGCAATAATACTTAGCCAAATATATTTTGTCTGAACGAAAAATGACCAAAGAGCAGACTTGTCTTTGAGTATTTAGTACAATTGCATAAAGTCCCAGAAAGCAGTTTGAAAATATTTTGCAAAGTACATTTAAAAGGTTGCAATTCCAGTTTGGAAATCTTTGAATGGAAAAAAAACACACCCAACCTACTGTGAATGCAGCCTTATCTTGGACATAGGGTAAGTTTTAATAAGCAATTTTATACACTGCCACAGATATCACTCTTATTACTGCAGGTAATACTGGATTCCAGAGGAACCAATCCACCTCCCTTATCCAATTCCTAATTACTGCTATAACTTTAATCTTTTCTTTGAGCACAGCCCTTCAAACTCTGAAATTAATACCCTCTATAAAAGCTGTTGAAATTTTTTTTTAACTATGTATTTGGACCATTGTAAATAGGAAATAAATTGTCTCCACTGACTGAAATAAAGCATTATAGTATTAACAAACCATTAATACTTTGGGATAATTCTTATTATCCCTAGATAATAGGGATAATGGATCCCACAGGTTAACTCTGTGGACTCTGGTTTACACTGGTGATTTCAGTAGTTTCAATTATTTATATAATTTTTGCTGCTTCCAAAAAAAAAAAAAAACCTCTTAGTGGAAATACTATACAGTGGTATTTACAGAAAATCAGTATCATTCAATCTAAAAGAGCTGAACTAGTGCAGGTTGCTAAATCATCTGTGACAAGAGTCTGCATACTCTGCAGTTCTGGTCACTAGCTCATTTTGGGGAAAACCACCTGTGCTAAATAAACATTACTCACATGACTACTCTTAATGTAGCTGTGAATGCCAAGTTGAATTAGAGCTGCACATTTAAGCATCCAAGTGTCTAAATCCTGGGAAGAAAACTTATTGGTATTAAATTCAATAAGAAAATACCTAGTTTAAAGAGATCAAGGGTGGTAGTAGTAGTAGTTTTACTTGCTCTATAATTATCCCAAATAGAGAACTGTTTGTACTGCAACAGCAGTCAAAATTCACAGAAAGAAACATTTCTGAGGAGTAATGCTCTTGAGTTTGACAAAGCCTCAGAAATGCAAATGGAAGCTTCAGAAATGGTCTGGATAGGACAATTCCCAATTAATGTCTAATTCCTGAACTCTGCTGTTCTAAACATAATTTCACATCTATAAAGGGCTGAAATTGCCTGTGGAATGTCACTTGAAAATAAGAGAGATAACTTGTGTAATTTTCTTTAAAGCATGAAGCAAATCTGTAATTGTTGATGCTTATTGCTGTTACACCTTAATCAAGATGCCCTACTTTCAATGCTGACACACTGAATTCTAAGAAGGGGCCCATGATCTAAAAGACAATTTCTCAAGATCAAGATCAGTCAGATATGTCACTCTGATTTCTGAGTTGCTGCCTTCTGCTGATTTCCCCATTCCACCCTCTTTCTGGCCTCCAGTAACACCAGCAATAAGCCTGACATATTTCTCAAGATATGTAACGGTCAGGAATCCTAAACTGAACTTGTGTATACAAAATTTTGTTTATAAGACTAGATTTCTCTTCCTCTGGAAAGAAGGAAATAAGAACTCCAGTTAAGTATTCCTATACAAAGCAAATAATAGAATTAACAATATCTAAATACAGCTTGAATGCATAAATTAACTATCTTGTTGCAATTAAAACAAAGTAAGCTTTATGCACAGGTCATCAAGAGCAACTGAATTAGAAAATTAACATTACAATTAATCTGATTTTAAAAATTCAATATAGACTTTAAAGGACAGGTATGATTACCCTTTCATAAAGATTGCAGTATAGAATTTATTTTTTCAAATATGACCTTTTGTAATTCTACAGATCACAGAAACATTAGATCATCGTGATGTCAGGTCTACTGATGGGTAAAGAAAAATGAAGACTGAAAATTTCTGATGCATAAAAACAAACATTAGTCCATAACTGTCTAAGCCAGATACTTCTGTCTCTGTCACTATTTATGAACAGGTCCCTGGGACAAGTTCATGCTCAACAAAAAGATGACTGTTTTCACTAGAATAATTAAAAATGCAGTTTCTCTTGTTTCTCAGAATATCACAATCTACAAGGTGTTAGTTGCAATATTTAAGCTCTATAAATACTCTTTTTATTAAGTTGCATCACAGATGAATTTGATTATTCTTCTCCATTATTTTGTGAACAGCACACTGGATCGCCATTCTTACAAATTACACCTCATAGTAATGGAATACTAAACTGAGCTGTCTGGCACTAGATTTATTCTCAGTAAGATAAGCAGTTTGCATCTCTGAATTGCTCTTGTTTTGTACAAATCACAATCCCAGCTCGCACTTTCCACTAGAATAGAGCTTCCTGCATTTATGATATGCAACAGGAATCTTTATACCACAGATGTAATACACTCCTACACTTCAAAAGTTTGCATAATCAGTTATTTCCAGGTCAAATACAGCCAGTAATTCACAAGACTTCTAATCCACACAGTCTGGGCTAAGATAAGCACACAAGGTAGATGGAGTGAGGGAAAAATACAAAGGGTTAACATTTTAGCAAGAAAATTGTATTACTAATAATGCAAAAGTTCACTCTGTCTTCAGCTGTTCCAGGAATGATGTGTTGATGAACAAAGCAATTCAAAACTGAGGTACACCAACAATTTATCAAGGTACCTCTGGACTGAAGCTCTACTATCCATCATGTCAATTCCTCTCCCTAATTTGCATTGCAATCTCTATCATCATCCATGTCATTAATAAAGGTCTTGAATAATACAGGCCCCAAGACTGACCCCTGGGTTGCAACATTCATAGCAGCTGAATGCCAAGATGTTGATCACTATCATTTGAGACCAACAGCTCAGCCAAGTTTCCAATCCACTCAGCAGTCTGTTTATCAGGCCTAGACTTCCTTAGCTTCCAAACAAGAATGTTACAGGATGCAATGACAAAGTCTTACTAAATCATAGTATATTACATTCACTGCTCCTCCTTTATTTGCATAATCACTCATTTCCATACAGAAGGCAATCACATTTGTCAATTATGATTTACACTTAAGAAATCCATTTGACTACTCCTGATTACCTTCTTGACCTTTGTGGGCTCAGACACAGACTGTAAGAGAACATGCAAATCATGGGCTACCCACACTGCAAAAGGAAGTGTCCACCAGGAGTTCAGGTGAGGCTGATCATCCTACTGCTCCTCCAGTGTTCCTTCTATCACTTTCCATAGGAAGAAACAACAAAGCCTTTTCCAAGTCAACAGAAAAATCTCCTGATCAATATGAACTTTCATAAAAAACAACAGTCTCACAATCATATTGGCCAACTGTTTTATTACATTGTGAATTTCACTTGGGTTTATGGGTATGAATACTTCCAGCTGCTCTAAGTCCACAGCCTGTTGCTCCCCTACAGGCTGCCCATTCCCCTCTCCAAACAGGAAGGTCACCTACCACAGCATTCATCCAACTGGTGAGGCTCCTACCATTCACACTGCATGCCAGGGTGTGAGAAATGGCTGCTCACTTTTCATAATTTTACAAAGGTTTATTAAACCATAGCAAAAATACCACAGAAGACTGAATAGAGATGGCCCCGGGAGAATGCATTTTCCCCACCATGTGCTCACCCACACAATGGAGGTTTCATTTTTTAACCCTTTAACCCCTCCCAAGGTTCTGTCCATTGACCCCTTCTCTGCTGTCCAGTGGTGGAGATCACTTCTCAAATCCTGACTGGAGGTCAGATGTCTCCATAGTGACAAGCCAACCCTCCCAGATGTCCCAACCTTGGCTATCCCAGCCTTGGCTGTCCCTTGATAACAACATGAGAGGGTGAAACAACTATAAATCTATAAAACTTTTCTTAACCTATATACGTGATAATTGTGAGAGTCAATAATTGCATCACTCATCTACCACAAGGGAGAAACCTCTACAACTCCTGACTGCCTCAGACCAGAGTTGCAGTTTCCACGCTCCCACCTTCCATTTCCATTACAGAAGCAATGACTGCCCAAGATCAGCTCCTGTGGTGTGCAGTCAACATTTACCTTCCTTTTCTAACTGTGAGAAGCACTTTGGAGCCTTGTGTACGTGCACTGAATGCCACCTGCTGCAGCAACTGCCCTGTCTCTGTGTGCAGAGCCAGCTGCAGTGCTCCTTGTCACTTAAGGACACCTAGATGCCAGGGAAGTAGGAAGCTGGACTAGATTCTGTCTCTCTCAATTCCAGGATCCCCCTCTCTGCCAGCTATTCTGCTCAGCACCTGAACTCTGGTAAAGTCCCCAAGATCCTGGCCATTATTCACTTGGCCTGTAAGCACTGATTATTTTGCATGCTGTTGCTTCTTTTAATGTTTTCCAGAAGAGAACATCAACTGGAATTCACAAGAGATCTGGTCACTTACAAATGGTACTCTCTTTAATGACAGTCACAAATGAAAATATTTCATTAAATATGTTAAACAGGGGAAATTGCACTGAAGTCTGACAAAAAATCCTGGTCAGCAAAAGTGTTTAGTCATGAGAACAAAATGCTCCTGACCTTTTAGGTAAACGTATTTCCCAGATCCCACATATATGAACCATGGATGTGGACAAAGCTATTCTATATGCCTCAAACCTGAATCACAGCACAAGTGTGTTTGAGGCATATTTAAGCAAACATGGCTTAAAACTTACCTTTGAACAGGCTTGATTTTACTATTATCTTATGGTTTGGTTGCTATTTCTCTTTTATTTATTTATGAAGATAGAACTGCAAGGTTTATCTTCAGTTTTTGTTATTTGCAGATGTCAGGACATGCTTTGGCATCTGCTTTCTGATGCTACCTACACTTATGTTTGACTAGGTAGAGATTCAGAAAATCTTTTAAAGCCTTCTGGTGCACTTGAAGTGAAATTTCTTTTTTGACTGAGTAAATTTTAGTCATTAATGAGAATGTGGGATTTAGAACCTGAAATCTTACAGCATTTGTGAGATCCCAGTATGGACAGTTACTTGTTGATCTCTGATAATTCTGGATCTCATCCTTTAAAGCATTTTTGAAAATACTGATGAAACATACTTGCTTGGAAGGTCATCAGAAAAAAAAACAAAAAAAAACACAATGAAAACCTTAAAAACGTTTTGCCCTTGCTTTCTAACTCCTTAAGTTATGCAGAATCTTACCAAATAATATAAAATATTGAACAAAAGCAAAGCAAAACATTAACTAGGTGGCTTAGGCAGAGCTACCAAAACACATCCCAGGAGTCTCCTGTTGCCAAAGTGCTGCAGTGCAGTACACAGCCAGCCAGCAGCTGCACATCCACATGAGGCTGCATGACCTAAGAAGTCTTCTGTGAAAAATTGTTACAGGTTTGTGTTTTTTCCTGTCTCCTACAGCACACTCTACAGAGTTTTCAGGGTGGATTTGGACAACACACAAGAACTCTATTGCCAAAAAATGGAACGAGGAAAATTTAATCACATCCCTTTCACACTTCTAATGAAATCCAAGGAGCTTAAATTCCTTCCCTCACTCAAAAAAACCCATAAAATTCCAAAGCCCTGTACCTGCCAGCACAATATCTACCACCACATTCTCAGCAGTTGGATTTTCGAAGGATACGATGGCAGAGGAGTATTCTCCAATGCAGGCACTTATGGTGATGGCTTCCATGCGCTCCGGAGGAGCTCCAGACCCCGTCAGGTGAAATATCCGCTCTCCAAACTGTGAATGGAACATGCCATTATTTATTATTTGATGAGTCAGATTTTAAAGTATTTTGCCGACTTCTTTGTTCCTCTGCTCTGTGTTTCTGCTAAAGTGAACTTTAATTTTTGCTTTTTTTTTTCATTCTTCAAGCTGTTGTTACTCCAAGTATTGCTATCAGGAAATCAACAGTTTCATTCTGGAAGTTGTCTACATCTCCTTTTTGTGTTTAATTTCTGTCCTATTTCAAGCACCCAGTATTTAACTTCCATCCAGCTACTCAGAGCTTTCAGAGTAGGGAATGGAAAGGTGTAGGTAGTTGCAAAAACAAAATTCAAAGAACATATATTAAAACCTGAAAGCAGATTAAGTGAGAAGTTCTCTCCAAAAGACAAAGAAGAAAGAAAATAATTTTTTGATGGGACAGCAGTAGAATAACACAACAAGCTCCAAAAATAATAATGAATATTAACCTTTAGACTCAGAAAAATCAAGGATATTGGAAAGAAATAATAGATCTAAAATTTCTGTGGACCATCAGGTGTCAGAGAAGATAAGGACATTGTGTCCTCTTGAACCAACCTTGGATATATACTATTCATATTAGAATTGC